GTGTTTTTTGAACCTTAAACCGCATAAACACATTTCATTACACCAAATAATGTTCTTTTTAGCAACATCATATGACCCCTTTAATGGTCTTTCCTGAAGCATGTCTGTTGTACCAAGTCTTGTTAAAATGAGTAAAAGCTAAGTGTATTTCATCTTCAGCACAGATGGCTCCTAGCCCAGTGTAAACAGCAGCGCTACATCTGTTAATTGCAAACTTCGTGCTGACAAAGAGATGACTACACTGCTTAATCCTGGGATGCAGGAATTATTAAATCACAGGGGAAAACTATTTCAAAACAAGAATATAATAATTCTTAATCTTTTATTTATTTATATATTTATTTTTTCCCCAAATGACTTTTGTTGTCTGTAAATGCAAGGGTGTTTCTCAGTAGGAAATGCCCCAGCATGGATGGACTTTTGGTACTTTCCATTACTTGGGTAAAATCTTGGGTAAAAAACTAACCTTTTTTTTTTTTATGGTTAGTTAAAGGAGCTGCTTGTTGATTTTCAGTTCAGAAGGTCAAACAATTTTTATGTATACATAAAATAATTTTATTTTTAGGCCTTTTTTTTATGGATGCACCTGCTCTTGTCCTATGTCCTGAGCATGTGCACACCAAAGCTCAGATGCAGGGTTAATATAGTTAACTAAAACTAAAACTAAAACAATTAAAACAAAACTATCACTCAAAATAATATAAACATATTTAAAAATAAAAATAATAAAAATAAAAACTACTAAAACTTAAACTAAAATTAAAATCAAAACAACCACAAAAAATTAACTATATATATATATAAACTATTAATAGTAATTAAGTCAAAATAATTCAAAATAAAAACTATAACAGCATCTCGATGATAAAACAACACTGCTCAGATGTAGGTCAAAGTAAATGATATATGCTGTTATTTGTTGATTTGTTTTGTTTGTTTACAATTATTGCATCCTTATAAGCTAAATATAAGGCCATGTCTAAATGTTTATGTCAAAACTATTCTTGAGATGTACCAAAAGTATTTGTGGTATGTACCTTGAGATTTTATGTATTTTGAACTGCAATAATATATAGTGTAGATATATATTGCACCATCAATTTCATCAGCTATTTCCATCATTTAAAAACATCAAGAGGACTTTTATAAAGAAATACGAGTAAAGAGCAAAGGTAATCATGCATGGTGTTTTGGATGTAACATCACACCCTGAATTTAAATGGCTTTTAAATATCTGTCCATGTTAGTGGACATCGGCATCAGATTAATACAACAACCATTTTCATCTGTTTTTGCTGAGATCCTCTTGTACCTACTACAAAGACAGGAACTGACAATAAAACATCTCAGGTAATCCTGCATGTGTAAACTGTCATTCACTGACTTGAGTGAAAATATCTCTGTCAACAAATAGACAGTTAACCTGCATATGCAGCCATTTAATTACATTTGTGCCTGTTGAATGAGCTCCAAATGAGTGCTAATGTTACACTTCGCTCATTGCGCTATTTCAGTGCCCACAGGGGGATAATCTTTCCCATACTTGTTAACACAGTTTCTGGCTGCTGGTGTGACCCTGTAAGTCAAGCTTTTTGGTTGTGAAGAGGGGTGTTTTGGGCACGAGCCAGGGATGGTGTTGCTTCCTTTTTGCAGGAGCCACATTAGTAGCATTGTGAAACATCTTCATGAATAATGCAGAGTTACTGATGGATTGCCTATCTGGTTATGTAATGGCTGTAGTATATTAATGTTACACCACCGTAGTGTTTTCCCCTCTGGCTTCAAACTCTCGTTTTTATCTCAGAGACAAAACCGTCATTGTTTTAGACCAGACTGATAATATTTCAAAACAAAACCAATTAAAGGTGGTGATACACATACAATGATTGGTCGTCACGTGTGACTATCATGAGAAGTGTAACCACATCCCTGCCAGGCCTGCACTGTGAGCAGCATGAGCATGTGGCTCCTGGCATACAGTTGAGAGAGCCATGCAACGTCTGCAATGTTACAGCTGCACTTCCCAATAAGTTCTGCACATTAGCGTGAATCACATGTCACTCTGATACTGACCCAAGCATATGGGAAGCGTGAGATAGAAGGAGACAAAATGCAAGGGAAGGTAGACCGAAAAGATGGTTTTCTATATATCAGCTGTATTGCACTGCCTACTCAGAGAGAAAGAGAGAGAGCACAAATATGAGAGAAA